ATGTTCAAAAGATGTCAGCACTTGCCTTACAAATAGGGAGCTGAGTCACCGATTCAGATACAAATGACAAAAAAATACAAAATTATACACACACACACACACAGAGAGAGAGAGAGAGAGAGAGAGAGAGAGGGAGATCCTCCATCCACAGCAACCTGACCAGGAGATGCAAACTATGCTCCAAGTATCCCACGTTCAGCTAAGGAATTATTCCAATGCTGGGATGCCACAAAGTCCACACCAACCAAAAAGCCATGTCCACATTTTTTTTCAAAACTGCCCATGTAAACCAACATAACAAAATCAATGCAAAAAACCTCTCACAGTCTTCAAGATTGAATCTTCATTAATTTCCAGAAGTGAGAAAGGCCCTAAACAGCCAAGACTAGGTTGATAAATTTGGAAAGCCAAATTCCATAAAACCTGGCTCCCCTCAAACAATATTTTACCTCAACTTGTCCACGTGAACTTTATAAATGTTCCCCAGGTAAAGAGGCAGCTTTTCCACTCTTTCCACTAGGTTTTAATTGAGAAACCAGCCTCAAAACATTCAGGTTTGCTTCCTCCAAGGAGCACAGTGCTCCTAGCAGGTCCTTGAACCAACTTTAATTAGCACCTGCCAGAAATCTCAGACACCATCCTCCTTCCTCCTACTGCATCAGTAGGTATGTTGCTAAGGTAGAGGCAAGCTCTTGCTCATTTAGAAACTTGGCCATTTCACTTACTATTTGTTCTGAATTATTTTCTTCTGACACTCAACCTCTTAACCTGGGTCAGAACCAGCCACTCTGGTATGAGAAAATACTGGCCATGGGGACCAAACTTAAGTTCTCTGGAATATAGTTTGACCTAAAGCTACGCACAGAGGCTTGGATATAGTTTTACTGAGTTTTTCAGCAGAGATTATTTACTGTAACTGGATCTGGCCTATACGAGATGGTTCCAGGGATGTGACAGCCACAGAAACATAACGGAAGTGAATAAGGCAAGCCTGAGATAGCCATTTCTCCCCTATCAGGGATGGGAAAAAATCTAAGAGAAAGGAGCAGAGGTGGAGGCATTATTAAATGATAAAATACTAAGCCAGTCCAATATGAAATAACCTACATCAACTGGATGGAAACATACAAACTCAAAGAGTCAACCATTCATCTCCAGCTTGCCATTGCCAGGCAGTCAACTGCTAGGAAAGCCATTTCCACAGGTGCATTTCTGCTAATCCGTTGGGATCAGCCTTCCTGGCCAGGGAAAAGCATGGTAGAGACTTTGAAAAAAGAGCTAAACTAGCTCTACTTCAAAAAAATTCTGGCTCGTCAACAATCAAAAATTTAAACCTTCAGAGCAAACTGAAACCCTATCCGGGAGATAGGACACTGAATTTGAGAGCCCTTTTGGGGAATCATATTTTCTTCTTTTGAAGAGCAAATTCGAGGGGAATAAAAAGTAAAGGGGCTTTATTATAAGAATACCCATGTTTTTATGGGCACAACTGATATTGTTTCCATTGGGAGATTTTTATTTGCTTTCAGATTAAACCTCTCCAGACTATAACATTTTAAAGATGTATAAGAGTGTAAGAGTTGCTGTTAAATCAGGGATTCTGAGTGACACCCTTTTTTTCGTTGTTTGCAACATCCATTAATTTGAATTTTCACTAATAACTGGTACATCAGTTTGGGGGGAAAAAGGCAGTACTGTGACATTTCAAAAACAAAGACAACCAAAACAGAGTTTGACATTAATCACTGGGGCTTTCTAGATTTCATGGACTAGATTCCTTTCAGAAAAACAAAAAAAAACTCTTGCGTTGATATGCCTGAACACTTTTTAAATGTTTGGGGAAATATTTTAAAATTCAATGAATGAATGCTAAAATTTTCACTTACAAAAGAAATCCCATTTCCTTAACACTTGATTGTAAAAGTAAGTGAAATAAGCATCGTTCCGCAGACTCAGTAGCCCTGGGAACTTGGAAGGTTCATCCGTTAGATCCAGTTTCTGCGCTTGTCTCCTAGAGGAGGAATTCCACAAAGGATGGGAAACTTCAAATAAATGCAATGCGTTTTCAGCTGACTCTGCGCACTGGAGTGTGTTCAGTTGGTGCTTCAGACATTTTTTGCAGGATACTGTACTGTGTGAACATTCTTCCTCCCACAATTGATGTTACATACCTAAGATCACCGCTTCACAGCAGTTGTGGCCATGCTGGGGAAGAACAAGTGGCCCACTGAATTGCAGTATATGTATTTCCTCATCTGACTGTGAGTGAACTTTTTTTCTAAGAATGGAAAAAAGGAAACAGGATCTTTTGGAGGGAAAGAGGGTTGTGTGTTAAAAAGTTTAATCTAACAAAGTATGTCAGGGACCAAAAGTTGGCAAGAGGGAAAAACGGAGTTTCAAAGTGTTTTGTCTTTTAACGGAAGAATTTATGCTTGTAAAACACATTAGAAGTACAGTGTTTGGTTCTGCAAGTCATTTCTGTTGCTGTTTTTTCCTTGTATGTGTAGGAGAGGGGGAACTGGGGGCTGGAGGAAGTGTTCTCTCCACCATGACTGGGCGTGTAACACGTTTGCATCAACTTTTCACCGTCAGGCATGTGCTTCCGAACAAAGAACAGTGGAGACGGAGAGATTTGGGGCTTGACACACTTTACAGATTTGGTGCTTAAACAGTACTTTACAAATGACTTGCTTAATTTAAACGTCCATCACCGTAAGAGACATTGAAGTAAAATGAGAAAATTGAATCTACTTGACCCACAATCTTTTCTGTGGGGTGGGGGCAGAGGAGAGGGAGAACATTAATTTGAATGCAAATTATTATAAACCAAATTCGGTAACCTCATCTCCTACAAATGGACTTGAAGTATCCACTTTCTTCAAAGATGAAGGCTGGAGACAAAGCAATGGATTGAAATGGAAAGGAGGATACCTAGGGCTTGAAAATATATGGGCATTTTACATAGGTTTTTGTCATGTTACAGTAACACTTTTTTTTGAGAAAACTGTGTACATCAAGCTTAATAAATTAAACACTGAAAGGATGTGCAAGTCTAAAAGGGCTCAACAGGGCTTAGAATCCTGATTCGAACAGATAAATTCACTCTCAAGCATCACTTCGGTCTAAAAGGCGAGGAGGCAGGCAGGCAGGAAAGGGACAAAAAGAGGGAGATAATTGAATTACTCAATAAAAGAGGCTACTTACCATCCCAACCCATTGTTAAGACATACACTTCTGACATAAGAGAACTCCTTAGAGGTCGAATAAAGCGTGTAAAGCACCTCTGAGTAATGCATCTGCCCCCAAGAGGGGGCCCGGAAGCCCAACGTGGGCTTAGCGAACAGACCTTTGCTAATCTGTTTATTTCCTTGAACTGGAGTCGGGCTGCGATGGGCTGCGATTCCCAGGACGACACATTTAATTAGAACGAAACAGAACAAAACAAAAAAAAATTTTTTGTAAAAGCTCACCAAACTGCTGCACTTGTGTCTCTGAATGTGGGTGGCATTTCTTTTAAAAGGCAAAGTATGGTCTGTGAAGGAGAAAGGGAAAAGGGGAGGTGGGAGTGGGGAGAAGAGGCCGTGGTGCCTGGCAGGGCAGCCCTGGCAAAAACCCCCGCCTAGGGGAGGGTCCGCAGCGACTCCCAGGCCGGGCGGCGCGCAGCCATCTGTCCAGCGCGTTCTCTTCCCCTCCCAGCCCCCACTCCCTCCAAGACTCGCCTCCTGCCGGCTGGAGCCCTCCTCCCATTTCCAAATCCACTCTCCAGCCACCTCTTCCTCTGCCCCACCAAGGAAGGGTGGGCGAACCCTGCTCCCCAATCTTGTGCTGGAGCAGGGGAAACCGGGGCCCCAACCGCGCCCTGAAGCGCGCTGTTGGGGCTTATCCTCCAGAGAAGGGCGTGGGGAGAGCCCATTTCGCACTTAATAAGGGCAAGGGGGGGGCACTCCCTTTCGCCCCCCTGCCAAACACAAGGAAATCTCATTTTCTCTCCCGGAAGGGATGGCACCCCATTTTAGCCCGAAAGAGAGAACCTCATGAGAAAGAGGGGACCAACAGGCTAACTTCCTTTCCCCTCCAAAGCAGGGAAACCGAACCTCACACGCCCTCCCGCAACAAAAAATATCCGCATCACCTAAGAAAACAAGGACACCCTCATTTAAGGAAAACATGGGGGGGTCTTCTCCCCCCAAAGAGGCAGGGGCTCCCATCAAAGGGGCTTGAGATTCCTCCACCAATTTTGCCCTCTAGGGAATAGCTAGGAAACACCTCCCGCCAAAAAAAGTGCAAGAGCCCCCACCCAAAGGACCCCCCATTAGGAGGAGGGCTGAACGAACCCCTACTTCCTGCCTCCTAAGAAAGCTAGGATACCTCTCCAAGTAGGGCAGGGCACACCTCCCCCAGGAGAAAGGATACTGCCGGGGGCTGGGAGACCCCCAACTCCAAACCCCTAGGAGTGGGGCTGTTGCTCGATATTCCCCCAAAAGCGTACATTTAAGGAAAACATGGGGGGGTCTTCTCCCCCCAAAGAGGCAGGGGCTCCCATCAAAGGGGCTTGAGATTCCTCCACCAATTTTGCCCTCTAGGGAATAGCTAGGAAACACCTCCCGCCAAAAAAAGTGCAAGAGCCCCCACCCAAAGGACCCCCCATTAGGAGGGCTGAACGAACCCCTACTTCCTGCCTCCTAAGAAAGCTAGGATACCTCTCCAAGTAGGGCAGGGCACACCTCCCCCAGGAGAAAGGATACTGCCGGGGGCTGGGAGACCCCCAACTCCAAACCCCTAGGAGTGGGGCTGTTGCTCGATATTCCCCCAAAAGCGTCCGGGAGCCCCTCCCCCATCCCTTTCCCCGAAGCCAGGCAACGGGCGGGCGGGCCCGTGGCTGCCCGCTCCGGGCGCTGGGGCAGCCAGGACCCCCGTGGACCTCCGCAGCGCCCCCCCCGCCGGCGCCCCCTCCCCAGGGCGGGCGGGCGGGCGAGGGGGTCCGGGGGGCGCCTCCTCACCTTCCCCTCAGCATGGCGCCCAAAAAAGACAGAGCGAGAGCGAGGGAGAGCGGGCGAGCGCCGCGAGGGGGGGGAAACGCATGAGGCCAGGAGAGAAAGCAAGCGAGAAAGAGCGAGCGAGCGAGAGACACCCACCGACCCCGCCCTTCCTCCTCCTCCTCCTCCGCCGCCGCCGCCGCGGCCCGGCCCAACATGGCGGCCGCCCCCCTTCCTCCTCCTCCTCCTCCCCCCGGGGACGCAGCCCCGGCCGGGCCGGGGGCCTGACCTGTCGTCAGGGAGCGGGAGGCGGTGGTGGAGGAGGTGCGGGGTGGCCTGGCAGGCGTCGGGGGAACACGGAGTAGGCGAAGGCGATGATGGCGGCGGCGGCGATGGCGGCGGCGTCGACTCTGATGGCGGCGGCGGGGGGGTCCCGGGCGCGGCCTCCATCGTTCCTTTTGGGGGGAGGGAATGTTAATGCACGAAAAAGGACTGCTTGGGCGTGGCGGGAGGGGCACACTTCAGCTCTGAGGGCTCCTGACAGGAATGGGTATATATTTTTTAAGTTTCGGAATCACCTCTGCGCCGACCTCCGCGTAGGCCGCGCGGCCTAGGCCACGACGGGCCGCTCGCCGCCTGCTTTCTTCGCAGCCCGCCCTTGGGGTCACTCGCTCACGGGCGCGGAGCCCTCATCGGGACGTGAGCCCCCCAACACACAACACACCCCCGCGGGCCCGTGGGTTGGGACACCCGGGGGACACGGACACTGGTGGGTGGTTGGGTGTAATTAGCGCGGGCCGCGCGCGATGGAGCAAGCGAGGGAGAGGAGAGCGAGCGAGGGGCGGGGTTAAAAAAAAAAAAAAAAAAAGGATTTTAGGAAGAAAAGAAACGGGCCGCGGAGACGGACCGACTGTCCGTTTGCCCGCCCTAGGTGCCCGGCTGTCCGGCCCCCGCCGCCGTCAGAAATTCACACAAAATGGCGGCGTGGCCCTGAGGAGCCTAGAGATCGAGAAAGGAGGAAGGGCGAGGTGGGAGGGGGAACTGGGAGGCGGAGGCCGCGTCACGGGGAGGAGAGATTTTTTTTTTCCCAGACCGCTCTCCCGAAGGGCAGCGGAAAGAGCCGAATGGAGAGAATGAGCCCGAGGGAAGGGCGGAAAAAACCGAGAGGAGCTGAGCCGGAGACTTCGGGGAGGCGGAAAGAGCCGAAAGCGGTGGTGGGAACGTGATTAGAGGAGGCATGCCGGGCCGGAAATAGCCGAACTGGATCGGGACTGGGAAAAGCCGAGGAACAGATGTTCGGAAAGCAACCGAAGGCGGGGTCGCCGGGGGCCAAAAGGCGGAAACAGCCGAAAGAAGCCGTTCGCGGATAATGCGATTTAGACGGAAAATGCTGAAAGGCGGATTTAGGCAGGCGATTAAAGAGCAAACGCATTGAGGAATTCGAGAGCAAGTGGGGAGAGCTGAAAGTGGCTAGCTTGAGTGAAGGAGGGAAAAGCTGAAAGTGTTAGGTGGGAGAATTGGAGGGAAGGAATTCGGGCTTCAGAAAGGAAAAAAATAACCGAAAGCTGGAGGCCGGTGCCGTGAGTTGTAGGTTTCCAGAGACGGGGTGAATAGAGCCCAGCATGCCGGACATCACGTCATTAGACCTCGATCGGTGACGTCATCCTTGGGCGGTGCGAAGGGACGGGCCTTGCTACTGCTTTGGGGGAGTTTTAAGAACCTTAAGGGTGGTGGTACATGGAAAATTCAGTAAATGCTCGATGTGGAAATAACTTACCCAACTCAAAAAGTACAAATATGAAATTGAAAACCTTTGAGTCTCACAACTATACGAAGGGAAGCTACCATTATTCCCATTTAACGGATGCAGACTAATCTTGATGTTTTAATTGGCTCAACATCATAGCATCAGCCACAAGGAGCGCAGCGAGATTTTTAAACAGAACTGGCATCCCATTGCCTCCTGGATCTTTCAATCTTTTTATGAGCTCCTTATACAGTGTGAAGTCCCATGAGGGATGGGAATAGAGTTCTGTTTTAATGGAGCTTAAAAAATTGATAATGCTCTGGGGAAAAGAAGCTGGAATTTAAAGAATAAAAGTGGGCTCCTAGTATGCTGGGAGGCAGAAGGAGGAAGTGGGGAGGACAGGGTTGTGTAAACAACACGAAGGAGAAGAGAAAGTTCCAGTCAGAGGAAACAGCTTATTTCAGACCCTCCAAGGCAAGGACCATTTAGATTCCAGAAACAAAACTCGTGTGTTATGAGAGAGAAATCTGGAGGCAGAGGTGCCAGGTCACCTGGTATATTAATCCTCCTATAAAAGAGAAGTGTCCTAAACCTGGTCTGGGGCACAAGCTTTTTGTAAGGGTAATTTACAACTTCCAACAGGGAAGAAATTTAGCACCCCTGATAAAATACTTAAGCCATTTTCTAAAGAATTGTGGATAAATCTCATCCTGGGAGGCTAGTAGCCCTTCAGTTGACAGCTGACTTCTTGTCAAGAATCTCCTGGTCTTTCACCACATCATCTTTTCTTTCCGGATCTAATCTCTAGTTTAATGATTATTTAGTGATTCTCTTCTCCTATAAAATGCCCCTACCAAAAGTAAATCTTTTAATTGGCCTAAAGAAACCTTTATTCCTTGTGTGCATGATTGTAATTAAATGTTGGCATGTGCTCATAACTAAGTTGTCCAAAAAAGTTTTCTTTAACACACAGAGCTAGGTGAGCAGGATTGTAAGAATGGAATGGAAAAATATTGTAAATGGATCATTATGTGTACTTGTGAAAGGTGTCATTCCCATTCTTATTTTGATTTCTGAACCCCAAGTGCTCTAGTTAATGAATGAAAGCACTAGTTGAGACCATAGACCATATCTAGAATAGCACCATGTCCTTTCAAGGTGTGACCTCCAGCTGGCACCATCTCTGCAGCTTCAACAGACCTTTCCACAATTCTAGAGGGTCATCTGCTTTTAAGTAATGAGGAAAATGAAAAGATCGATGAATCTCACGAGGCAAGATTTCTCCATGCTTTTTCAGTGTCATACTAGCTCATTTGTTTAACATTATCTGCCAAGCCCTGCTGACAGTCTAGATGCGACTTTGACTTACTATTTAATTGGTCTAGACTTGGTAAAGTTATAGAACGTTCTCGAGTGTCAAATTGTTTCTGTCTGGCAGGACAGACAACCCTGAAAGACGTTAACCAGTTTTGTACCAAACTTTCCAGCCTAATTCCAGCGTTCTTTTCCCACTATTTCTCACATCCTGCCTAGACCCAGCTGTATTTTTCTGCTAGTTCCCTGGCTAATGAGTTAAGTAACATCTTTGACACATGCTCACAGTGTGTTTGTGTGAAGGTTAGGTTTTTAACTTTGTAAAAACTATGCTGTGAAAATAGTCAAGTCCATGGATAGAAATGTTGGTAGAAATAAGGCAGGCAGGACCAAAAAAACCCTCACCAATACACAACAAATGATAATTCCAACAAAGGCGAATTGGTGACCTTCCCTTTTGAAAGGATCCAGTGTAATCAGTCTGCCACCAGTGGCTGTGAAGCGGGACATTGGACGAGTGAGGCCTTATTCACACAACTACTTGGGCCTCGAGGACCTGCTTGAGTTCAGTCCCCAATATACCATTTCCAAGTGCTGATGAGTTGATACTGGGCCTGCCCACTTCATCGCATCATGCATCAGGTACTGCGCCACCACCTGGGATTCTGCAGCCAGTCATTCAGTCTTCAGAGAACCCACAGATATGACAAGAGCTAATCCTCAGAACAAGAGGAATCAATTACTGAGGTCATGACTTTTTATAAAGCCCAGGGTGTATGCTTCCTCTTGAGGCTTAGCAGAGATCCACAGACAACTCCTATTTTTAGGTAGGGGTTGTGGGAACCTCCGATGTATAGCAGTCAGCCACTTGCAATTGAATCCGAAGTTGGGAGTAGGCAGTCTTGTGCGACTACTGTGGGTATCTCCTGTTAACTAGGTAGATAGTGTCAGAATTGAAGAGTAGAACCTCAGCTGGTGTCCGACTGGAGAACTGCTTGGTGTGGGAAAACCTCCAAACCTTTGGTGACCAGAGTACAGAAGTATAAAGTGTTAGAGTTGAAGAGAAACAAGAGTTCCCTTAGAATCACTTTGAAAAATGGCTTGGCAGTATCAACTATGGCACAACATATACCTACGCTATGATTCAATAATTCCACCTAGAAGTATATATCCAACAAATACACCAACGGAGTATGCACAGTAGCACTATTTTAAATAGTGCTGAACTGGGAACTACATAAATGTCCATCAACAGAAGAACAGACGAGTAAATTACAGTATATTCACTTTTTAGAGCTCCTGGATTGCTGGGCTAGGAGATCCAAATGGTAGAGTCCTTTACAATACAGGACCAGCTAGAGAGCCTTCTGCATGGGGCCCCAGAAGCCTCAGAGCTTTCTTTGTTGATGAGGGAGAACAAGTCTCCCACACATAATACAAGACGCCTCCAAAATTTTGAGAGCCACCAAACTGTGGCTTTTTCTTCATGTGTGTGGAGGGGTGTACGTGCACAATTTTTAGCAACTTGCCCTTTATTTGGGGAAAAAATTCCAAAATTTCCCAATTCTTTCTCTGGACCTCCAAAACATCTTTGAGCAGGCAGGTGGTTGTATTTTTCTCTAAGCTAGAACCTTCAGTAATACCCACAAATCTGATCCATGCATCCATGATACCTTATCTTTCTACTCTTGATACATCATTATTCTGGCAAAAAGATTTTACTTTTCTAGTTCCTGTGGTGGCTGTAGGGTGAGTTCTGTGCACTGTGGATGAAGAGCTCTTTACAGAGAAGACAAAACACGGAGTGTGAAAGAAACACCAGCAGCCAGCTCCAGCCTCTGGCAATACCTGGGGAAGAAAAGCGGAGACCATTGGCCTAAGAGGCATTATGGTGTTTGGGATCTTCGTGAATGTCAACCCAATAGTTATTTCTTCCTTCTTCCTTGCTAATCCAAACGTGGATTTACTGTGGAGATCATGGGTGGGTCACTTAGTCTAGGCTATAATCTAGCTAATCACTGGTCTCAAGGAGATGATGTCGCCCCCTGGAGGACATTTTGGAAATTATGGGGAATTAATGAGTGTTGGTTGTCAACTGGTTCTC